ATCCATTTAACTAATGAGTTCAGCTACTGCAGATAGTTATTCCAACTAAAACAAATACTTGTGACTTAATGGAAGTATCGAGATAATCTGCACAGGATGCACATATGCCAAGAGACTAATCAACTGCGACCCTTAAAATCAATCGGAAGATTCAAATAAAGAATACATATGAATTAAAATTAACCCCATTACATAACCCAGTGGCATATGAAGTGAACGTTACGAGATTCGAGTTCCGATGTGAACATTAACTCTGGGATACAGGTACATCCAGCTGACCTGTCCGGAAAAAGATGGAACGCGTGACCTGGATTCCACTGCCAACTACTATCTATTTCTGACTAAAAATCTAGTCAGTTTTCCTTTCAAAGTACAACAAATAACGTTCTAATAGTTTTAATCATTGAGTAACATAAGTCAGAATATAAATGAGAAAACTTGAGCCATTGTAATTATTGCCCAATAATATGTGGTTTACAAAAATTACAAATCTTCAATCTTATACATAAGCGTGCCTTAAAACTTCAAATAATAGAAGGCTAACATGGGCAGTTAGAAAATTTAAAAAGGTTGCTATTTAAAAATTTATCAAGACTAGTGTAAGGACGAAATTGAGCGACTCTTAAAATAGCTTTGGGGATGTGCAGTTGGTTTCAGCCAATCAGAGAACAAGTTACGAAAATGATTAGTTTCTAATAAAACAAAAAGTAGAAAAATTAAGTCCCAATATATACTAACATCTTAACATGACTCAAGAATCGTTCATGGACAATGGGATTTCTTGAAATTCTACATCAAGCAAATCAAGGGTATCAGGAAGCAAAACGTTGGAGAAAATAATTTTTCTAGTGGTCTCTTCATGTTGATGGAAATGATGTTTCAAAGGTATTCAAAGTCCCTCTTAAACATTATTAGTACGGACTAACCTTAAGTTAGCTAAATTTTCTCAATAAACAGTGGTATAAAATGGTCTAGCGGAACGGCGACTTTCTACTTACGTTATTACTACATTTTCTTGGAATGTAACAAACAAACGATAAAATGTTCGTTTAAGCTATGCATTGTGATCATAAAACCGTATTATGACAGCTGATTGATTTGCTCCCTCGTCTAAATCTAATCAAAAACTCTTCACTTCCAAAAATTAACTCAACAATCAACCTACTACTTTACAGTGAGGATCCCAAATGATATCAAGCAATTAAACTAAACATCATCACAAAAATCTCAAATTTACACAAGAATTTAAAGATATAAAACTAATAAGAAAACTCACTGCTGAATAGTTAATTGTTGCATAAGTGAACTGCCCAATGATTATCTATTATTAGCAGCTTTTCCAACCTCAATAAGTAGTAAACCATAGGAACTGTAGTTTCACTAGTTCATTGTACAACTACCACATCCAATAGATCAAAAATACATATCAATTCCTTATAAAATATTATTCTTACACTTAATAAAACAACCAATAGGAATTTATTTTCATTAAAAAAAACAATGACAAGTTTTAATGGTTGACCAATTTTCAATACGAATCCAAATACATTTTAATTAATGATTACTAAAAAGAAAAAATATGATCAATTAACAGGTCATCAAAGTTCAATATTTCAAGGTAGCCTATAGTAATATGTAAAGTTACTCAATAATTTACTGTATAATCATGTGTTAAGATCAAACAACATCGTTCATTATAGGTTCTTTCTCTATTATTCAGTTCAATAAAAACATACTACACATAAAAATATTACCCGTTACCGATAAATTTATTCGTTTTCAAAAGATGTTAAATAAGGCGATGAATATGTTCGATTAATTCAGATGATTACAACGAAGGTTTCAACATAAAATATATCACTCATATAATATCAATTATTTCACAAACACAGTAACAGGCATGTAAAAAAATTCATAAATTGAAGTGTGTATATGTGTATATAAGCAACAAAATTTACGAAAGTGAAATAACGAAATCCATGACGGCCAATAATTAATAATAATAATAATAATAATAATAACAAAAATAATAATAATAATAACAATAGTAATAATAATATTATTATTACTATTATTATTATTAATAACAAAAAACAAATAATAATAATAAATAACTTGAAAAGTTTTTTTGTAGGTCAAAACTATGTCATATTCAAGGGTTCTATGAGTGAATAACGTGATTTTTTATTATTTGTAGACTTCCATCTGTTGACTGGTCTACGTAAATTTAAATGATCAAAGTTTATCATGCAAAAATAACCATCTTCTCAAGTACAATTAGTTCGAGACGACTTGTTGTTAGAGGTACCAGATATGATCTCGTGTTTGTTACATGCCTAACTATTCTGTCAATCCTAATTCTTTAATTGAAGAGGTCTAATGACGAGTTCTATTTCAAACTGACGAAAAGATTCAAACATTCATCTATAACATGCTGACATATACATCAGCTTGGGGATTTCAAATGTTGAGCAACAGAGTTCATGTGAACTACAGTGTATAACTAGAAAGAAAGTTTTCTCAACAGAATACATTCATTCAACAACCTGAACGTTCTTACTTACAATCCTAAACCCTATCATGATCTCATATATATATATATATATATATATATATATATATATATATATATATATATATATACGTAACATGACATGAACTAACAATGGGATGATTGATCTCGAAACACAAGATGAAAAACAATACTCAACTGAACTGAACTGAACTAAACTGAGAATTGAGTACAATCCACTGCCAGTTAGATAGGGTAGTGTCCGGTGAATGGACACACAAACGATTGTTACTCAAAATATCAACACTGTCAGAGAAAATTCGATATAAAGAAAGTAATAATACGGTTGACTACAGTGGGGGGAGAACTGGAATAAAGTGTAAGACGGAATATTTGAAGAAAGTAAATAAAAAGGGTATTTGGTCAGTGTATAAAAGAGTGACATTTTCAGGATTTAAAGAACTTTAAATATTGGGTACATTTGCACTCTACTGTGATGACAACATAGTCGAAATTGTCGAATAACTGGTTAAAAGATAATCTTATCAGAAGTGTTCACCTTCCTACATACAATAGAGTTCAACAGTAAAATGTGATAATATGAAGTGACTGGTTGCCAGTCTTCCTTTCCTTGTCGTTAACAGTTTAACAACTGATTGTCACTTCGAAAAACGGAGTGACAGAACAAGACAGTACACGACATGATTAAACAGCACTTATGTAACACACATTCGAAGTGGATGTTGATTACCACCGAGCAAACTCAATGACGGTATCTCACTTCTCAATCGACAGCTTCATTACATTCGGTCGACGAATACTGTGTCGATATTTGTTTGTGACCAAATGCTTTCAATTATCTGCACATAATGTTATGTGAACAGTGTGAATAGTAGTTTCAGTGATAAAGATGTGAAGTGCAGTGTACACGTCATGTGTATCGTTGTTTCCTCTGTTGTAGTTAGTGACAAGCACTCAGAAAAATGTATGAAATATAGTTTTGTGACTAATTTTTACTGTCTACGAGAGCAAGGAACATGAAATTTGTTCATTTTTTATGAAGACCAAAGTGGTAAAAATATATTTAAGATGGTTATTGCTTGTTTGACCTTTCGTGTACTTCTACTTGTACATAATAGTAATGATAATGGTAATAATAGTAATAATATTAGTAACAACAATAACAATAAATAATTTGACAAACTAGTTTCGACTTGCTTGTTTACCGACTATTTTCAGTTTTGATAGTAGTACATTGAAGCCAGGTGGCTGGTTGGTAGTCACCACCACCTAACTACCTACCCACTTGACTACTGATGACTAACTAACTCATTAGAGATATGTTGTAGTCATCTGGTATGTGTCATCTCTTCAAGAATCCATATTGTGACACAGTTGAGTTGACTGAACAAAACTTTCTCATACCACCATACATATACCACAAAAATCGATTTTATTAGTTCAATAAGAAAGGAGGTGATTAAATAGTCACAGATTATATAAAATAAAATGATCTAGAAAATAACGTTTGTTCCTGTTGATGTGAATAGGTGACATTGATTTTGAAATTTGTTATTGTGGATGTTGAAGCAATAATGTTTTAGATGGGATATATTGGATAGAAATGTTCTTCTTCAATTCCACAATGAGTAGACTAACAAACAATAAATTTATTAGATCTTCTTGTGAGTTTCTCGTAGATAACTATTTTGTATCAAGTCATTATTACCATTATTATTATTATTATTATTATTATTATTATTATTATTATTATTATTATTATTATTATTATTGTCATGTGATATAAAGTAAGAAAAAGTGGAAATTTAAGAGTGTTGTTTGGGCACAACCCTACAAATATTCATAAAGTTTAAGATTTTTTCCACAAGTAATTTGATGGTAATTGATACTCAGACCATGTTTAATTTATTCGAATAAAACATTCGGTCTTCAGTCTAAAGGTTGTCAGTATGAACATAAATCTATTTTCATTTAAACAGTTGGGAATTTTTACGATAAATCGACTAGATCAAAAGCCTCTAGTACATAAATCTTCACTTGGTAAATAAACTATGTTTAGCGGTTTATTCGTTTGAGTATCTGTTTTATTTTTATTTGTTAGTTTTATTCAGTCTCTGTTGTCTAGTTAGTTTTTTCTCCGTGGAATAATTCTGACAAATTTTAAATGCGTTAATTTACTATTTTGCATATAGTTCTATTCTATTTGTTTAGTTCACTGCATTTATCTTAAATGATTAATATTAACTACTGAAAAAAGAAGAAAATGATCTTATTTCAATAAGACAATATTTATCAATTCAAATTATTTCATGTTAACATTGACCAAAACCATCCTATCATGTCCAAGAAAATAAAACAAACAAATAACTGACAATGACCTGTACCATAGCCACTGGTGTAAAATACAATACACAACATATCATCGTATACCTCGTAGAGATATCAGGTAGTTACATTTTTTTCAAAATTACCTTTCATCTTTGTTGCGTTGATCCAGTTGTTCAATAGACATAATTAAATTTTGCAAAATTTCAACTTTATTAGATAAATAACTAACCAACTGACCTAACTAAATTCAGAAAATTGTTAATTTAATTTATAAAGACTTCTAATTAGTCACTACATTACTTACTGATAAGTAAACAAAAATCATGATTGTGATATGCTATCAACGAAACAGCTATCTAGTAACAGCGTTTTTTACATCGAAAGTATGTAAACAACAAGGTGACTAAAAATGAAGTTAATCAAACTTCATAGAGCCACACACTAACTGATCATCATTGGAAAGCTGTTAACTTCACCTATATTTGTCAAGTCGGCTTTGACAGACGTAGCAAGTTCTTAAATAATTTAGCCATCTACTGATAAACGGCAGTTCTGACGCGTACAGAATTCTCAAGTAATTTTTCCCGATTCGTATTTTTTGTACTGATCTCTGTTATTATTTGATTAGTCGTGTTACATAAACATAGCTGTTCTATTCTAACTACGACTCCTTTTAATATCAAGCTTTTCCCGAGTTCCTGACTTCCCTCTTTTGTATCACATGGAGGATTATCCTTGAAGTGTTGAGTATAATGGTTATCTGGTTCATCTAGTTCGCGCTAACCTTTTTTACGACTAGAAGAATCTCTTAATCGCTCGTAGCTCGGAATTACCCACGGCTATCTCAAAAATAACAATATTAGGGTTGATAATGCTACCTACTTATTCTAACCGAAATAGTCGAAGCAATATGAAATAAGTCGTGATTATGCCGTATTTCATTTAATATTGAATATATTTAAACACAAACGTTTCTAGTAAAACTCATATCAATTGGCAATTTAAAGTCAATCATGTAATTCCATCGTCATACACTGCAAATGAACTACTACTCATGAGCCATGACTCTTCAGTGAGTGAAAATAGATATCAAGCTATGTTGAACATATAAGACAGTAATTGATACTGTAAACTCTTTCCAACTATTGACTTCACAAATTATTCACTCAAGATTCCTACGCGGATTAAACTGTGGTTGACTGCTTGTAGTTGTAGTAATTACAATATCGTATGTCTCTATGATCTTATTTATTTTAACACATAGATATCGGTGCAAGGAGGCACGAAATATATATGCGCCATACAGATCTCATTGGATATGTGTGAGGGCTGTGATACTCCCCGGGTGCCCAAACCGAAGCAGGTGATTTTCTTAGGGGGCCACATCCCGAGCCTTCGACCTGAAGATCTGATCCACAAGGCAGTGGAGCACCGTGAGGAGATGGAGTCCCATGGTAGCCGGTGACCAACGATTGGTTCATACGCCATTTGGTCCCGCAGGATACTGGAGCCCATGTACACCATTGGTTTGGGATCCGGTAAAAACGCTGGACATTCGTTTTTTGTCCTCTCATTTTCGTAAACAACACCCGTGGTACGAGAAGGCAGTGAGTAGGACTTCCCTGGTAGAGGCTGTATACGCATGGCCATGTGAGAGCATTTCGAGAGGGAGAGTGGACTCTCCCCACTCTCGGCCGTACCAGGGCATTTGAGCTTATGTCTGTGTATCATATGATTGAATATAGTGATCCAATGTCGTGATGTAGTCTACCCAACCTAATATCTAGTATATCAAGTCTTATTTATTATTAAGTGCATGAACGACAAAAACGTTATGTCACAAGTAATTTCAAAAGAAATGCTTAATGTATTAGCACAACAAAAATAATAATTAGTTCAGGCCAATGAAAATATTTCCTGATCAACTGAAGATGGAATCTACCAGTAGGATAAAGTTGAGGAAAAATGTGTGAGGCAGGATTGAGGTATGAAAGCGTAACATGAAATGATTCCAACTCAATCGCTCAAATACATGACTAAATGAAATATTGGATACAAATCTTAACCACAAAATGTGTACAAATGTAAATGTAATTTAACAAACAGTTTCTTTTCTCAATTTAATTGAACATTGTGATTTTTTAGTTTAAAAAGAGTAATATAATTATTTAAAAGTGATAATTCAACTCACTTTATGCTCTTCCACAAGACTTTCTAGTCTAGCTCGTTCTAAATCTAACGAATGTAGAGATGAACGAAGTTCTTGTCCTGTTCTAGTCAATGCATCAACACGATGCTGTAACTCTTCAATTTGATCTTGTCTTCTTTGTCTACATTTGGCCGCTGCTACTCGATTACGTTCACGCCGTTTAGCCCGACGTCTAGCTTCATCATCACTAACCTAATGTAAGTAAAAATGAAAGAGAAAAATCCCTTAGTAGAATTTAACACATCCAAGTGTATCTTTCAAAATACGTTTCTATTTCTCATTTAATTTATTTAAATACCCTTTCAAAAGCAGTCTGAAAAGGCCTCATTGGTAACTTTTTAATGTTTACCTCATGTCTGGGTAAGCATGATACCAATAACACTGATAGTGAAAAAAGTTGGAACAATTGCTGAAAGTTTTGAGGGGTGGAACAAAACATTTATTCAAAGTTAAACCTATATACAATTGCTTATATATCCTTTTCTAAATGAAAGCATATAATTGAAGAATTGAAATACTTATATTAACTGATAAATGAGCAATGAATAAACGCGATATTTGTCTAAGCCTTTAGTAGTGATGCAAAATCGAGTCACTTAAACCAGTGGCTATACTGCACCTGGATTAGCACTACAAAATTAGGCGAACATTTAACTATTCATTGCTCGGTGACCATTTAGTGAGAATTGTCAAGTGGTTTATATACAGAGGAATTATCACCATTTAAATTGTCGTGAACAACTGACTTAAGTGTATTTTTTAAATAACCATTCATTAGATGAGGCTCTCATCATTTCATAGTTATCTATGGTTACATGTTAGAAACAATTAACAACACATTTTATCATTATATCCTAGCACTATTTTATCATGTCCGACTCATCATATTGGTTATTTGAGTCACAATTCTAAATAAGTAATCTGTTAACAATTCAAGTAGAATTTTTATCTGATGAATTGTTACAAAACTGACAATAAATAATATGATTAACATGAAGGGTTTACTGAAGATTTTTACGTAAAGCTGAATTGCAGCTATCAGCAGAATCCAAGAAGTGCGTTGCATCCTATTTAATACTTTTAGCTGGATGTACCTGCATCACAGTACTGATGTCCATACAGAGACTAAGACCTGGTAGGGTGACTAATTGCGGTCCTTAAAATCGAAAATGAGAAGACTCAAATAGTTACAAAAACTTAAACTTATCCTCGCTTTACAAGCTATCTGCACTTAGTAGCTTAGTAAATAGAGCGTTGGGTATTTGATATTAAAAGTACTGGTTTCGAGTCCCGGTATGAAATCAATACTGGGGTAAAGGTACATGCAATTGATAAGTTTCAAATAGAATCTAACGCGCCTTCTGGATTCTACTGATACTCACTATTCAACTTTACTTAAAACACATGACTTAATGACAATATCGAGGTAGTCCACTTAGCATACACAAGTGCTAAATATAGATTGACCAATTCTAGTCTTTAATATCAGCGGTAAGATTTAAATCATTACAAAAATTGGTTGTGGAGACTATTGAGTTTTAAGGCTTACATCACAGACTAACCTTATTTCGACAGACTATGAAAACTAAAAAGCATTTTATAGCTTTTCGTCCCACTATGCATTCACCACGAGACCCGAATATCTTAGGTTCCATTCTTGGTAGGTTAGAGGATGTGCACTACTGAGGAGTCCCACACCAGACCAAAACTGTTTTCCAATACTACTTGGTTTTCAATGGATGTTTAACTAAGGTCAGTCCACGATGTAAATAATAGAATTATACGATAAGTAGTCAGTTGATTTGCAACTATCTCCAACACTATAATTACATAAGCTTCCAAGTTTTCCTATAGATTTTAATCTCATAATAAATAACAATACGAAATTCAATAGACAAGTCGAATAGGAACGAGCTCAGAAAATATTGAAAAGTAGTAAGAGAAGAAAAGTAGTTATAAATTTTAAAAACAATCCCGTTTCGAGATAAAATTTGGTACTGTGAAAATGGTAGATGTATGGTCATTTTATGATCAAGTAGTAGTACTAATAACAGTAGTAATTAATCTGCTAACACGTATATCTATTAACAGTATTGCATTCTCACAACACTATGGTTGATGAGAAAATAAGGATTCAAAACCGATCGACTGGAGTGCTTGGAGTATGTTATTAAACGTGCTCAAACACTGCTTGCCTCGAAGCGTGATGATAGTTGATGTGACGAATAGGTTGAAAGATAACTAGGAATTGTCAAACAAAAACATGGCATCAGTCCACAAAGTCGTCAACTTTTAGATTAAGCCATATAAGTGAGTACAGACTAGTTGGTTCGTGACCGTGTGATTGTGGTAATCAATGGTTAGAGATAATGAATGACAGATTTGGTCACAATAGTGTAGATGACTTTATTCTTTGTCTGTCCTTAGATACTTAATTATCTAAAAGCGTTTTTATCCCACAATCTTCTATTTTCTTCTAGAATCAGATTTCTCCCAACAAATATTTTCTACCATTATAATCATTATCATTCTTCATTAGTTCCAAAATTACTATTCAATACCGCTTACAAAGAATGTATGACTCCTAACAATTTACGATACATAGTTTATCAGCATACAACAACACAATAATAAGGTGTGGTTCATCGTAAAATATGTTGAACATGATTATTCAGTAGCATTTATGTTTATTTACTACTTCTAGTGAATGAGTGAATAAATGAATGAATGTTTAACTAAACTTTACATAAACGATGATCATAACATGCAATAAAACTTGGCTGTGTCCAATACTATTCCAATGATTGAATAATAGGTCTATAAATATATGTCCTCTATATTACAAGTTCATATTTACACTACAATAGATATTGACTTTCTGTAGGTTTGGATCGCTAAAAAGCACCATAGCAACAGGCCTTTTTTATTACAAGGTATACACGCCCAATAGTAACAATAATAATATTAATGCGAAAATAGGCCGTCCAGTAATAGTAATAGTAGGAGGAGGAGGATGGCCAGTTTTTTTTCTAAAAAAAATTATTAAACATTCAGAGCAGAGAACACTGAATCAACTGTTGAGTTATTAATTACAGAAAGCATCATTAGATGATCATGTGATGAGAGAGAATTAAGATCGGTAATTTAGATAAATAGACTACTATCTAGAGTAATTTGAACTGACAGCTATGATACATATCAGACTTAGTTTATTCAGTTGAATCAAGTTGAATTCATAAAATAAAGAGACTGGTTTAATAAATTCGCATGAGAATGATAACACATTCTTTGGATGTATGATCATCATCATCAGCATCAACAAAGCCTAATGTGAAACTGCTCATTTTGCTATTTGTTGATTATGGTTTTATTGAGAAATGAAACAGTTGTCATTAATAGTATGTGATGCTCATCACACTACATAACGAATTGATTACATATGCAATTGTACCATTGAGTACTGACTTAGTGTCTCGAGTGGTTAAGCATTCACCGAGAAACCTAAAGATCCTTGATGAGGTCGTAAGTGCACATTAATGAAGTATCTAACACTAGGACAAAACAAATGTGTTAATGCTTCTTAGTTTTCAACAATATCTTAACTGAGATCAACCTGTGACAAATACAATTTACGAATATATTTATGACTGAACTTGTGAGTAGGCGAGTGCTGTTCTTCATTTTCAAGGTTTAAGTGGACAAATAAATTGAATAATATTTTATAGAATAATTTCTATTAACAAATTAATGATTGACTAATGGAGAAAAAAAATGTGTAGTAAAACATACATATCAATCCAAGTTGATATAATTTATTTATATCGCAAAATAAGAAAGCAAGTAAACTTCTTTTGAAAGATGATAAAATGAACTAAATAAAAATCTGAAAGACAACACATAAAAACAACATAAATAATAAATAGGATGATAATTTCTGATAGCAATACATTATCTAGTATATGTAGCGTCATCATCATCACTAACAGGACATTTACATGAAAATTTGCCAAAAAAATGTGACTTGTATAGCTTAAGAGATTCTATTCGCAAAACTTATGGGTTTTCATACAATACACATTCATTATGCCCATGATGTTGTTGAAGTAGGAAGTGACCAACTCTAGGTATAATTTATACACAAATATATCTCAATTAACTCCTTATTTATGGCCTCTTCAAAAGCATAATCAATATGGTTTCCTCTTATCTAGCAGAAAATCAGTAAGAACATAGGATCGGTAAAACTAAACTTCATGGACGACGTTTGGGCGACATTCGAGTGCCCTTAAGAAACTTCAGCCACTGATTAGGGTCAAAATAAGGTTATGAATTAGTGTGAAGAATTCAGATTAGGACTTCAAGTTAGAAACGGAGATTAGGAATTAGGGTAAGAATTTTTCACGATGAATTAAAGTCAGCTTTAATATCGAAATACTAATAAGTAATATGAAAAAATGGACTTCCCGCCAAATTCCAGAGTATCTAACTTAAATTCCATTAATTCGTTCATAAATTATGGTCCCAATCATTGGGACTAACATTACGGTCATGCATGTATCAAGTCACATAATATTCAAACATCACAGAGGATATAACAAAGAGAGGAAAATAATCGAGTTGAAATTAACGAAATCTATATAAGGAAGTAACAACAACAACACCGAAAGAGCAAAGATATGGAACAAAAGTGTGAGATAAAAGTATACTTATTTTTCATGAGGTAACCGCCACCTTGAGACAGGAGGAGAGGTCATAAGTAGAAGAGAACAGGTAAACTCATAAAGTGATACGAGTTGATAGATGAATATAAATTTTTTTAAAAACTCCTAGAGCAAGACGAAGATTTAGGAACTTCCAGATTTGTGATCAATTTTAAAATAAAATAAAATTTTTATATATTTAACGACAACTTGAAATTTATTCGTCCCTTCAATAAAAATAAATAAATATTTTAATATCCTCCTATTCATGAAAAATGTTCATTGCAATTGACACAGATAACTTATTATTTATTTATTTAAACACATAAACATTGGTACAGAGAGGCACTAAATATATATGGGCCACACTTCATTCGATTTATTTAAGGGATAGAATACTACCCTGGCACCCAAACCTATGTTTATACAGACAGATGATCTAGAGGTGGAGTTATTTAAGGAAAATGAGTACTGATAATTTCTAGTTTATTA